GCTTCTGGGGACTATTACAGCTTTCTGGGTGTGGACCAAAACCGTCATGCCACCCTTGCTGACCTCATCGACTTCCACAAGGTAAAAGAGCAGTAATAGTGTGTGACATATGGGTAAATGGATTTTTACCTCAAGAATGCAAAAGATAAAAACATTTCTCTATACCAACCAACATACATTTAAAATAGTTTATATGAATCGTTCACAGTAAGGCCAGTAAATTTAGTAAATAGAAAATAACGTCATTTCCTGTACTTATTGAGAACAAAAGCTTAAAGTTCTGTTATCATTTACTCACCATCATGTTGTTCCAAGGCAGTGCAGGTCCAGACTGCTCTTTTCCATTCAATGAAATTGGACGGATGAGGCTCGAGGAATTAAGCTTAAAAAAAAAGTCAAAGCACAACAAAAGCATGATTATAGTACTCCATACAAGTCGATTAATCAAATCGAACATTTTAGTGAAGAGCAATCTGGGGCTCGGGCCGTGTCAAGGTCAGAAGGGACACAGTTTGTTTGACAGACTAACCAATCTTTATCTAACGATACTGTCGTATACCGACCTGAGAAACATTCACTTCATAATATTGCAGGAATCAAGCAGTGCGTCCAATTTTATCTGTCGTTTATTTAGAATCACAACTTTCGATGATTCTTGAATTATTTTGAGTCGGTTCTTTTTTTTGCATGAATCGGTCAGGCTAACTCTGAATCAATTGAACCATTTGCTTCGCAAAATGATTCACTTTTTCGAAGCTATAGCGACTCCTGCTGGTCAAAAGAGTAAAACAGTTACAATCCAATCCACAGTCCTATTAAATATAATATAGTAATTACAGTTAAATACGAAGTGTCTGTATAATTTGTTTTCTTTTAATACTTTGTAGTGCTTGTTTTACATTATTTAGATTTAGCTTATGCCAATTATAAAAACAATTAACTATCATTCTGCCTTTTTATTTATTTTTTTTTTATTATTATTCATTACAATTGAACCTACATTAGGATCTGATGAGATGACTTAAACCCATTTGTTAGTTAATAATTTCAGTATTTTTGTTATTTTTGTAGATTCCTTATCGTCTGACTTTAGAGTAGGCCTATGTCGATTCATCCACTATGGATCCCGTTGTGTTCATTTTGTGTGTGTTTTTAAGCGTCAATTTTGGGAGTCCCTATTATATGGACTCACAGAGACGGAATATTTTAGTTTTTAAAATCTTCGTTTATGTTCATCTGAAGAAATAAAGCATAGGCTATACATCTAGGGCGACATGGGGGTGATTAAATGATGAGAGAATTTAATTTGTTTTTGGATGGAGTAGCGGTAGGTAGCCTTTACTTTTAAGGTATGAATCGGTTCACAGTTCAGTAGGAAACATTTTTAAAAAGTGCAGTCACGCACTCAGTCGTTTGCAGCTGGTTGTTATTAAACTGAGTTACAATCGAATGAAACAACCGTCCTATCATTTGCCATGAAAACTTATGTTTTGGACATGTATTGTGAAGTAAATAAATGATGGCAGAATGTGCCTTTGCCAATAAACTGCCTTCAGTTGTTTGGAAATTAATTACTTTCTTGTGCAGCCATTCAGTGCTTGTTCAGATGTAAGTTTTCATCATTCTCCAGAACAATGTTTTTACTGTGGAGAAGCTCTGATGCCCAGATACATGACAGCATGTGCAGGATTAAAGTTTGGTCCATCTTAAAGTCTCTGGATCTCTAAAAGTGCTGTAACATCTCAACATGTGAGGAATGGATTAGGAGTCAGGGCTGATTCCGGAGTCAAACAATGTAATGTAATCTGTAGGTACTAAAGCAACTTTCAATAACTGAGAGCTTGCCTGGCATCTCCACAAACCTTCAGCATAGCCTGTGTAACCATGGATATGTATTTCACTTTCTGGAATGCTGTCACAAGCTGTGAAATCTCTGACATTAGTTACATGCAAATGCAGGCGACGTTGTACAACTGTCAACAAGCGTTCCCGCTTCACGCCTCTGCAATATGGTAAAAATACATAAAAAACACTGTAGAACCTGTCTACATGTATATGAAAATTACAATGGGTTTAGCTCAGATAGAGACAATCACCGAATGAATACAAATGCAAGTCAGATTTACACAGCACAGCAGTGCTGGAAACAAGACTGCCCTCACTATTTCAGGCCACATTTGACATATGTTTGAATATGTAAAATAGATCGAATGACATAGCATGCTCCTTTTTAGCATACGATGATTTCCAGCCATTGTGTATCAGAAAACAGACTTTAAATCTTGTACTCATTCTATTAGAATGCACAGTGCACTGAAAAATGGCAACATCTGTCTACTCTCAGGAGGAAATCATCACAACTACAGGGAAAGAGCTGCTGCTGGAGGCCTGCAAGCGGACTGGGCCCTCTGTGGATTTCGGAGGGCTTTTCCCATGACTCCTTGCACAATAAAGACTTCAAAGGCAAATCTCTGTAGGGCAGCTAATGTAGCAGGGTGTTCGTTGCATTTCAAAGAACATGGTCAAAAATAAACAAGATTTCTGGTCCTCATGTTCTGCCTCTGAGTTACAGTGCCTTATGATCAGGCCTCAACGGAAAGACTTTTTTTCCTGTGCTAATTTTTAAGGAAAATATGTAGAATTCTGGGTTTAAACATTGTGAACGTGTTAAAGGATGCAGATTATACTAATAACGTAGAAATGTGTAGACCTTTGTGACACTGTATATTCTGTGCTGATTTTTTAATGAAAATATGAAGAATTCTCGGTTTATACATGGTAAAAATGAGTTAAATGAAGCAAATTATACAGAAATGCGTAAAACTTTAAGATTTTTTTTTTTTTTTGCTTTTTCTGTGCTGACTTTTAAGGAAAATATGAAGAATTCTGGTTTTAAAGAAGGTAAATTGTGTTAAATGAAGCAGATTATACAAATTATACACAGCTGCGTAAAACTTAAGAATTTTTTGCATTTTCTGTGCTGATTTTTAAGAAAAATATGTTGAATTCTGGTTTCAAACTTGGTTAAAATGTTAAGTGAAGCAGATTATACAAATTATACAGTGATATGTACAACTTTGAGGCTTTTTTGCATTTCCTGGACTGATTTTTAAGGAAAGTTTGTAGAATTCTGATTTTAAACATGGTAAAATATGAAATGAACCAGATTATACTAATTATGTGCAAATGTGTAGACACAAACTAGCCTGATGTAAAGGAACTGTGCATGGATCCGGGTATGAAAAGCCATTAGCGATCAATTTTCTGCTCTTTTATTATTTATTTAGTCGAATGCATTCATGTAGTGCAAGCATAAATGTATCTGAAATAGAATTATTATTTTCTGTTCTTTATAATAGGATGTGATGCAAAAAGCTATGTAAATAAGAACCAGTGTGGACACTGAAACAATGCATCCGAAGAAAGTGTGTCTAAGGAAGGACGGATTTAACAACAACAGGAAAAGACTGTTTCCTCAGTCCATCCTTTAGTTGTACTGAAGCTTTTTCCATGAGAGAGATAGTCGTTCTGTATCTTCCACTGAGATAAATCAGATCTTCTATACTTCTGACCCAGCAAAATATGTGCACATCACCCTACAGAGGGTCGATGGTCTTTTTTATTTGTTCGCAGTATGTTCCCACTCCATCTGCCCTGCCAGAAAGGCCATAATGGGACTTTTTATTAGGACGGATTGTCAAAGGTGTTCAATCTAATGTAGAGGTGACCGTGAAATGGCGAAGTTACCAAGATCCCAGTTCTGCTTTATCACCATTGAGCAGGATACTCCAGGTTTCTCCAGGATGATTGTGCTTGTAATTAGTGTGTCTAAGTCACTTTGAACTGGAAAATGCCACTACTAAATAATAAGAGAGATGCTTTAGTAGTTTTATGGGCTGAAAAGACACACAAGGTTTGTGGCAAATGTACTGCACTGCAGATTTTCTCAAGAAGTGGACCTTTCTGACCTGAAAGTCTGATGCTCGGATGTCATAACCCAGAGCAAAGTTTGAATTTTAAAGGCTGGTTTTATGTTACATTGTTTAGGTTGTTTTTTGTCCCTGCTTCAGGCAATTTTTTAATAGAGCCCTGGGGAAACGTTCCTACTTTTAATTGCTCCAGTCATTCTCCCATACGTCTACAACACTCGATTATTTTAATGAATTGTTTCTTTATGAAGAAAATGAATCTATATAAGTCCGTAAATATCAGTGCGAAAAGCTATTCGCTACACATTTTACTTCCATAATATGATGCATTTCTAAAATGAAATGAATTTTTTTTTCCACTGATTATTTGTGCACAAAAAGAACAGGAATGTGCATTTAAAAGGTATAGTACCATTCAAAGTTCAGGATCATTAAGATTTTTATTTTTTTAATAATACTTTTATTCAGCAAGGACACATTTTAGAATCTTGGGGTGGACTCCATAGCTGGACTATTTATGTCCACTATTTATTAAGACTAAAAATCTTTTTTGAGCACCAAATCAGCATATTAGAATGATTTCTGAAGGATCATGTTCCACTGAAGACTGCAGTAATGGCTGCTAAAAATTCAGCTTTGCCATCACAGGAACAAGTTACATTTGAATATATATTAAAATTTAAATATTAAATAGTTTAAGCAGTTATTTTAAATCGTAATAATGTTTCTATATAATAATATTACTGTTTTACTGTATTTTTGATCAAATAAATGCAGTCTTGGTGAACTTAAGACATTGTTGAAATAAACTCAAGAACTCTATTGCTTTTTACTGATAAGTTTTTACTAAGTTGTCTGTATGTGTATTGTGTTGTGCAAAGTGATGAACTGCTTTAAAAGAAAGATGGCAACATGTTTTACATAATTACATTTAAATATGAATGGGATATGGATTTTAAATGCAATGTCAACATTTTCAGCATAATTCATATCAGCTCAAAGCTGGTATGAGCTTCATCAACCAGCATATTTCATTTAGAAGACAAATGACAGTGTGGCTGATAATGTCAAACTCTTTTTTTTTTTTTTATTGAATATAAAAATGCTGAAAAGAATTCAGAAAATATTTACAAAGACAACAAATATCCAACAACAAATAACATCTAAATCCAACACAAAAAAACATCCCTTCATGAAAAAGGAGGCTCTTGCAGCAAGGTCAGGGAAACTGACTGTACTGCATTTTAGTAAATACTCTATCAAGCTTTAACACTACACAGTGGCACAGACAAGACTCTCCAAAAAGGGACAAAATAGTGCACTCTGAATTAAAAAGATTAACTAAATGCTTTCTTTTTTTATATATATAATTTTCTTTTTGCATTGAAGAGATTTTCAGAGGTCATATTATAAAGCATACTACGATAGAACTTCAAAAAGATAAGTCTTTGGGCTATAGAAAGAGTGTAGACAGGCAGGTGTTTGCATTTATGTAAGAATGCATATTGCGTTTTGGCTAATTCAAGTGTGAAGACATGTTAATATTGTTATGTTTTAAGTAGTTTGTGCTGTAATGGCAGTTAAATTTTCAATTGAAAACACAAAAAAGTAAATATTCTTTGAACACCCGTAAAAAAGGTTAAGCATGGGTATGATTCTGTCCAGCTTAAACATGGTATACTACACATTTTATGAAATCTTCAATGCCAGAGAAAAGGCACAATCTGCATTTTTGTATAAAGTCACCAAGTAAGAGTAGAAAAAAGGAGGTAAGTGTTGGCATCTCAAGGCAATGTTGACATCAGTATAAGCCATATGGTGACTACCATCAAACTTCAGTGACTCTTAAAGTTTTGTACAGGTCCAGTAGAAAGTGACCATTTACAAATGTGAGATATTCCGTTAAAATTATCATTAACAGAATGACCCAAAACAGCGCATACGAGTTGCTTACTGTAAAATAAAAGATACATACTGATGCATCTTACCTCCATTATGTAGGACCAAATGGATCAGCTCACGTCTCTTTTGATTCACTGACATTTGATTTCTACCCAGCTGCATTCTCAATATGTTCTGTTTACATGCGAGTACTTCTGGTCAGATCCTGATAGTTTTCTGCTGCACTCTTTGCAGTTGACATTAAATGCAGAACTTCTGTCTGCAGAAAGATTAAGTTACAAACTCAACAAATGTTAAAAATATGTATTTACTGCAGTTAAAACTGCGTAAAAATGGTTCTCTTTCATTACACTTTTACTATGAGGATCATTTTTTAATCTTAATTTATGCATGTTTTTATCTAAGGAAAAATAAACTTGCTTCTTAAAAACATCCTAAATTTGTTCCAGTTTGTGCTTTCGTACTAATTCCTAATTTAGTTCCCCAAAACAAAAATGTACACAATATTTTGGAGTGTATGCAACATGACCATATAGACACTTTTCAGTAATCTAAGCTTGGTTGACTTCTTCACATCATTACAATTACATTTCAGGTTAGTTTACAGGTTATGGTCCCATTATGTTGCCACTATGTATACCCAGCTTGGTTAATAGTGGTCCCAAAAATACAAATGTTTGGTTAATGGTAGTCCTATAAAAAAAAAAAATGATTCAAATAAAAATAGGGAAAGGGCTGGAGGTAAACTTGAAGAAGAGACAAGGCACACGTGACAGTATCCAAGTGAACTTAGGCAGCTGCGTATTCAATATGTGGTCTATAGAAATGCTGAAAAGGTGGTCCAGTGAATGCTCCAGAGTCCTCTTCTCCACAAAAAGAGACGCAGAAAAATAAAAGTAGGTCCACGACTTTTTCAATACATTGCCCTTAGCTCCCTTTCAGTTACGTCAGAGCTCAGTAATAATTCAACTCGACTTTTTCAATGTCTCCAATCAGCGTCCTTGCCAAGAAGATTCCCACCATCTAGAAGCAAAATCACAAGACACAACATTACATTGAGATTAACCTCAAAACTAAGACACGTACTGTAAACGCAGACAGGTACTTTCCTTCCTGGACCTACAACTTCATTCTAATGTTTATATCATAATTAGTGTGATTTCAAATACTTTAAACCAGCCCTTCTCAAAGTCCAGACTCCGGTACAGATCCGGACCAGGAAGGAATTCAATCCGGACCTGCCTCCACTTCCACTTCGTATTTCAAGTGCACTCGTATCACTCAGACTTCCATGGCATACACACACACACACACACACACACAGGGGCGCATGAACCAGTGTTGCAGTGTTTACCAACCTTTTTGTAAGACAAAGCGCATAGCAACTAGCAACATTTTGGATAAACCTTAGCTTTCATTCAGTAGAATAATGTCACCGGTTTCACCTCGGAAGCGCGAGCTTTCGCCTTCCCGACACAACTCGTCTCTCTCGACCGGCAGAGTTAGCGGCACATTCAACGGACCGAACCACAGCAGACTTTGAATGAATGAGTACAAAACAGTGTTTCCAAAAACCTATCAGTAAATATGCACATAGTTTGTAACACAGACGCACGTTTGTGCTGCATGATATATAAAATAAAGTAATATAATTCACTGCTGTATAACAGCGTATTGCAGTTATAATTCAAGATTTTAGCAATTCAGTTGACTGCAAGTTACACTGAAGTACTATTTCAGAAACAGAAAATATGTAAATGAGATCAGCTTTATAGGGCATTTAGTTGTAAAAAAATGCAGTACTGTATGTAACAGTTAAGAGAGTAAACGCAAGTACGACTTGATGACGTCATTAATATGATAATTAGCATATATAAAGTTGAATTGTTATATAAAGTTATGAGCATGTTTATTAAAAAAAGGTTTAGTAATAATTATTTCGGACCTTTTGACGTTGATGAGAATTCAGATTCGGACCTTTGAATGTAAACTTTGAGAACCCCTGCTTTAACCATTTGAATAGTGGTTTTGCTATTTTTAAGCTTTTGGTTGCTCTGTGAAAATAAAAGTGCTGAGAGTGACATCTAGCTGTAAAATATATTTTCCATGCAGTATTTTTTTCTTTAGTACATCCCATACCTGTAGCAATGATATGACTATGAAGACTCCAGCCACAATGTAGAGATTGCGTGGAAGCCACTCCTCTAAAGCCATCATGCATCCTTTGACATAAATGGTGTTGCCCCACTGAGACTTAAAAATAAATACAGTGTGTTATGTTTCACAAAATATGTGACAGAAAATGTTATGCAATTAATGAAAGAGCATTTTATTGTGCTGTGCAACACATTAAAATTTACAAGTTTATTCTCTGCAGGTATTCTGCTCTCCCAATTGCTATTTCCCTACTACCAACAGAGCACAAAAAAAGAATGATTATGAGAGGAGAGCGGAAGAACAAAACAACTTTAACATGCCCCATTCGTGAAAATGCAATTTTCATACTGACAGATATTAGTGCAGTGACAGAAAATGTTATGCAATTAATGAAAGAGCATTTTATTGTGCTGTGCAACACATTAAAGGGGTCATATGATGCGATTTCAAGTTTTCCTTTCTCTTTGGAGTGTTACAAGCTGTTTGTGCATAGATAAGATCCCTGAAGTTGCAAAGAATAAAGTCTCAAAACCAAAGAGATATTCTTTATCAAAGTTAAGACTCTGCCACGCCCCCCTAAAACGGCT